CGGGGGCCAGGTATTGGATCACTTTCTTGGTGTTCTCCGTCTTCCCGGCCCCCGATTCACCTCTGGAAAAACAAACAAAAAAAAAAAAGGGTTGAAATTGTGAGTATAGGGTGTAAACACGTCCATTTTGGAAGGAACAGACGCAAAACTTGAACTTCGAAAAGATCAATGAAGCATGAGGACAAGAACTCAAGGAAACTTTGGAGTGTAGCATAGTAACGAATGGACTTGAAAACATGGTGAAAACAGTTCATGTGGAAGCCGAGCAAATAAGAGTCGTTCATGCAGCTATTACTCAGTGTCTTTTGAAGCTGACAATGGCATACACTAACTCAAAAATCGGCACATGTACAACTTGAGAATAGACAGACATTCCCAAGTGATTTGCTGTGTTTCTCCACTACCTCATATTTTCTTCCCCTACCACGCTCTCTCTCTCTTTCTCGCTCTCAATCGCTGTGTCCACATTCCTCTGGCTTTTGCTCAGAGGCAGCCATAATGTGCTGCAGAAGGAGAGCGGTATGATGGAGGTCAGATTGATGGCAGGCGGAGGACTGGGGCCCAAGGTTTACAATTACTCGCTCACAGCATCTTAAAGCATCGTTTGCCTTGTTTGTTGGCCTCGAAAGCGGCAGACGAGGGAGCCTTGCGCTGTTTTATATTAGCAACAGACAGATGTAGTTAGTATTTCTTTTGGGTTAGCTGTAAAGGGGCCAACGGTTATATTAAGACGGCATTACAAGTCGTATGGCATGCAGGGAGATTTCAGTTGTGGATTCCGCCATCCGATTCCCATTTTTGGTTTGTTGGGCCATGCAGCGATAACGTGACTTATCGTCGACTTATAGAGATAAATGCTCCGTTTGTTATTCTGTGCTAAAAACATGCATCGACACTAGATTTCTAATAGTTAGTCAAGATATGTGCATTTTTTTCACCCCCCCCCGCCCACCTTCTGAAGTGCGTCAAACTGGTAGCCCTTTGCATTAATCTAATAAGTAGTTCTCAGTTTCAAAAAGGTTGGCGACCTCATACCCCCCCACCCCCCCAAAAAAAAACAAAAAAACAAAGGGGAGAACACCCTGTTGATAATTAGGACTCCAATGTCAGATTTCAGGACACCGCAAGAGTTCTTACAATGTCACGATATCCTCATTGTGAGCGGTGGCTCGACATGATACAGACATCAAATCCACAAAAATGCCAAACAGTATTGAGCGCGATTGTGACATGTGAGATTTATTTCAGCACATTTGACATGTGTTTCTACTAAAACTCCATTCTGGCCTTTAACTTCATCCGCCTGTCGATTTCACGGCAGATTTAGAGCGTTGCAAATAATCCCCGAGGGGAAGCGAAGCCAGCACAAACAAATAACCTCATGAAGAAGGAAGCTTCAATTAATCATGCAAAGTCATTTTGGAAGCGGCGGATATCTGAAGACGAGGGCATGCGAACACACACACACACACACACACACACACACAAATGATAGCGCGGCGTATCGATACAGCGGGAGATGCACTTGCCTGAAGCTTGAATGCTTTGGGAGATTCTGGCTGTTTGTTATGGATAAACAAATGCAAGTGTTATGTCAGACACAAGGCGAGCCCCCCCCCCAATGATGGGGGGGGGGGCAGGAACAAGCTACACACAAACCTATGAAGTTAGCTGTTGATTAGCGTGGGACTCCTGGTCGGCAAACTATGCGTTTGACTCCAGTGTAATAATCGAGTCAGCATGAGCGTTTCCATTTTGAGGTTAAAGAGAGAGGATGGATGACGGCGGAAGAAAGCTTGGCTAACGCTCAAGTCAGAGTGGGGCTCTTACTGGAATGTTGTGGTCTTTGCGTCCTTTGTGTGAGGAGGCAACGTGGGCCAGGTATTGGATCACTTTCTTGGTGTTCTCCGTCTTCCCGGCCCCCGATTCACCTCTGGAAAAACAAACAAACAAAAAAAAGGGTTGAAATTGTGAGTATAGGGTGTAAACA